GGGAGAATTGATACTTACTATAATGAGAATAAAAGTTGAGACAAAATGCTATGAAAATATGTTGAACTCATTTTCAACGTATCGCACAGAGAACAATGAAAAGTATCAAAGACAACGTCGTTTACCCATAAATTTCGAATTCGAAAAACTTTATTTGAGATATATGGAAGAGTGCCGATGTCAGATGGAGAAAATTGAGCAACTACGTTCGTACATTTTTGAGGCGATTGAAATAGTCTTAAATCTTTTTGTTGAAATTCATCAATTTGTGATTGATGACTTGAATAAATGGAAGTATGAAGCACAAAAATTGGCAAATGAAATATCATATCCAGTTAAAGTACATAATCCAGACAAACTTGATGCAATTCAAATATGGTTGAATAAATTATATGAATGCCTCATGGACATACGCAGCATTGTGGAAAATATTCATAATTCAAATGTTCAGATGAAAATTGTCGACAGACGAGATGATAAAATCAAAGAAAAGATAAGCAATTCATTACAAAATTTGATTGCATCAAGTTTTATCATCGAAAAACATCCATCGCAAATTATTAAACGTGACACCAGGTTAGTTGAATCACTTTTTTCGTCGTAATTTTTGAACGGAAATTTTAAAAATATTCATTTTTTTTGGTCAGAAATAATGCATGTGTTCGGATGCTTATCACTGAGTTCACAAAGATTACGGAGAAATTAGGGGTATCGGTCTCTATATTGTCGGGTAAGTAAATCTTTTCAGAAATTGTTCGTCTGTGGAGGAGAGAAATGAGGAGGTCTCCTCCTACTTATTTTCCTCCCTGCATTCAATTGCCTTCCACTTTTCGAAGAATCTTTTGTTCGAAATTCTCTTCCACTTTTCTGCACACCAATGATATTTTTATTCGACGAAACACATTTTTGCGGAAAAAATTTACTAATTTTCGTTTCATTTCTACGAATAGAATCAAAAGCGGTGATTCAAAGGCAACAAAAGGCACCATTGTCGGAATCGAGCGGTTGCATTGCGGACAATACAGAAGAAATACAATTCTCGCCCGACAGCGACACTTTGAGATGGAACTTTAAACGGATGATGGTCACCAAGGTCACACGAAAAAGTAAAAGTGGATCGACAAAAGATGTGAGCGACAAAAAGTTCGTTTTTGTATTTCGAATGAAATTTCAAATTAACGATATTCCAATTGATGTAAGTGTCCGTTTTTTTTTTGGAACAAAAACATTTTTTTTTCAACTCTCGATTCCATCAATTTTCAAAATGTCTAGATATGGACCATGTCAATGCCCGTTGTTGTTTTTTCAATTAGTGCCCAAGAGCCAAGTGCGTGGGCCGCTATTTTATGGCATAACGCATTCTCTGTAGATGATGGAAACCAATATTCGGTTGCCGACAAAGTATCATGGTCACAACTGTCATCACTTTTGAATACAAGATTCAAGAATCAAACCGG